AGAGCGGCTATAGGTTGCGCAGGAGGGATTGCTGATTGGACGCACCCTCGTGGGCTCCGACCAATCAACGTGAGACAAGCCTGAGCCCCAGGAGCGAGCAGAAGTGGGTGGGAAGAGGTTTATGACCTGGCAGGTGCTGTGAGGGCGGGGGCGGGCGGTTGCGTGCCGGGCTGGCGAGTGCGCGTGCGCGGCGGGATTGGAGCTGCTGCAGCATCGCTGAGCCCCGGGAGCCCGAAGGGGCGGGAGGGACCTTAGGTCTCCCACCTGGCTCGGGCATTTTCCTGGTTCCTTTTTTGCGGTATCGTGCCACCACTACACCTGTGGAGACCCACGTTCTGCTTCCACAGTGTCTTCAGAAATAGATATTATGCATGAATTAAAACCCCACGAGGAAGGAAGAGATTTTTTTTTTTCCTTAGGCGCTTACTAGTAAGGGATGTTTTAATTCGCACACGTGGCAAAGAAGTTATGTTTCCCAAGGAAAGGTAAATACCTCGTTGCTGCTTAAATCAAATAAGCTCTCACAGGATTACAGATAAGAACAATTTTATTTTCAATGTGCCAAAAATTAAGACCATTTTCAGGTATCAAAATGTAAAATGAAATATCTTAGTTATCAAAAAATATGGAAGATTCAATAGACCAATGGATTTTTCTTTTCCTGACAACTGGAAAATCTGTCTTTTCTGAGAATGCTGTGGGGAGGGAAGGGTGGGCGAGAGAACGAAGCATTAAAACCTGAAACTCCAAACCTATAGATGGCTTAGGTTATTGAAACGGGTTAGAACATTCTTGGTCTTGCTGTTGATTCCCATTACTTCATTCATAAACTCATCAATTCATGCTCTGTGTAAAAATGCAGCTGGCTCATTTATATTGCTCCGTCTTTATATTTAGACATTGAAAGTTTAAAACTGATGGATGACTTCAATTAAAAGCCCCCAGATGTAAATCAGTCTCATTCTAAAAATATAATGGATGCATTTGCTAGTGGCTCCATTCACATTATTCCAGAGCGTTCTTATCCTGCCCAGAGTCATTTTATATATTGGCCACTAGAAACATTGGTAATGTCACTTAAACAAAACTATAAGATCTAGGAATTTAAGACCTACTCTGAATATCAACTTTGTTCCCCATTAGTGACCTCAGATTTTTCCTATGAACCCCAACTTCCACATTCTCAAAATCATTGTAATTAAATGAGACTGTGAGTTATAAATGTAATGTTAATTGCACATTTAAACTTTGTAAATATGAGTAACTATGATCATATATATGTATTTAGAAGCATATGAGAAGATACATATGCTGAGAGCCATGAATGATTGAACTATTGAAATAAAACATTTAACAACTAACTAGGGAGCAACTAAATGATCCTCTGACATCCCTGCAAGTAGAGAGTAAATCCTTAGGAAAGATGCCCAGTTCTCTTCATGACACTAGGTCAATAGAAACATAAGTAAAGGGCATGATCAGTGGACTCCCTAAAAAATATAGAGAGAAATATTTCAAATAAATGTGAAAAAGTTAGAAAAACATAAAACATAAATCACTGAAATAGAACAACAAGAAAAGTCGAGAAGAATGAAATGTATGCATTTAAATGTAAGCATTTTAGGAAAAAATGACAATATTTATAAAGAAACTTTAATATTTCCATGTCCTTTAAATATACAATTCTACTTCTAGTTATAAATTTTATTGAAATCGTCAGAAGTGCAGTTAAAGCCTTTGATCAATGATAGATACTGGAATTACCCTAACTGCTACTCCCAACGTTGCAACTATTAAATTGACATTGATTAATGAAAGTTTGAAATCCATGTTTGGAGAGTTGTATGAACTATTTTTTAAGCCTCACTTATAGGATTATAAATTGATACAACCTTCTAAGTTTATTTATTTATTTATATTTTTCTCTCAGAGAGACAGCAAAACAAACACCCCCTAACAGAATCTTCACTACAATCTACCTCCAGCTTCAGCAGGCCCAGATCACAGGCATGCTACCATGTGGCCCCTTTGAAAACTTTCTCGAGGGGACCAGCAGTTAGTGTAATGGCTATGTCGCTGGACTCCCACGTAGCTGACCACGGTTCATGTCCTGGACCCGGTGGCTTGAACTCACATTGGGCGCGTGTGTGTGCGTGCCCAAGATCCCGAGAGGAGAATGGAGGAGAAGGGATTGTGACGTGGCCATCCCCCCTGGGGGGTGATTTCTCGCTTTCTATCTCTCTGTCTCTGTCTGTCTGGCAAGTGTACACGCCCTATAGCGAAAACCCCTCAAAAAAAAGAAAACTTTCTCGACAATATTTATTAACTTTGAAAATGTTCAAAACCTTCACACCAATAATTTCACTTTAAGAATCTATTCTTAGAAAATAACCAGATGCCAACAAAGATGTTCATTGGTGCTATTTATCAAAGCAAATAAATAAACAACCATTTAATATCTGAAAGATGTGATTGAATGCATCACAGTATATCTATATGATGAAATATATTATAGCTATTAGAATATTTTGAAGGATGTCTAATTACTCAAGAAATGCTTTCAAAATAAAGAAATCAAAGTGATGATACAAATCTGTACAGGCAGCATAGAATCCAGCATATGTATAAATATGTATATATGTGTGTATGTAAATGCACATTTACATATGCATCTCTATTTGTGGGTATATAGATATGTGTATGTATACTATATATACACCCATCAAGATAAAGAAAAATAGACTGAAAAAATACACCAAAATATTAAAAGTGATCATGATGTCTATGTGTTGGAATAATGAGCAAGTATTTTTGTATTTTATAGTGATTTTGAAACTTTCTACAGTGATTTGTTATCAGAAAAAGAAGTGAAGCCAGACAGTGGTGCAGCAGGTCCACAGCTGGATTCACATAGGAGAGCCCTGGCTGTGTGTTCCAGGGCTGCTCTCTACATGCCTGGTACTAGAATGGTAAAGGTCCACCATGGCAGTAAACTCGATTTTCTGGATGATATCCCTAAGTGTGGTGTGCAGTGCACCAGATCTAAAGCACTACTGCAAACTTGCAATGACTTCCAGTCAGCTTCAGGATCTACAAGCAGCTGAATGCAACAGCCCACATTTCTAGACTGACAATTTTCAGTATCTGGGAGCTGCTTTGGAGCCTGGGAAGGGAGATTTACAATCAGCCTATGTAGGGATCCTAGGGAATAGTGATGATGAGAAAGATGGATACTTTAAAACACTTCTAGTTCATAGGTTTGTGACCTCAGTGGACTGAAGTGCCCTAAGCTTACATGAGTTCCACTAAATAGTTTACTTAAGTTTAGAGAAACAAGACAAATCCTTGACATTAACCCCAGATGAGAGTTAGCCTTCTGTTAATGAGAAGATCTTCTTTTGTGTGTGTGTGTGTGTGTGTGTGTGTGTGTGTGTGTGTGTGGAGAGATTTTTGCTATAGGGTGTGTGCACTCGCCAGACAGAGAGAGACAGAAAGCGAGAAATCACCCCCCGGGGGATGGCCACACCACAATCCCTTCTCCTCCATTCTCCTCTTGGGATCTTGGGCACGCACGCACACGTGCCCGGCGTGAGTTTAAGCCACCAGGTCCGGGACGCGAACTGCGGTTGACAACGTGAGAGTCCAGCAACATAGCCATTACACTAACTGCTGGTCCCAATGGGATGATCTTGAATGGAAGTGATTTGGATGCTCTCAGTGGGTCTGAACATTTAGGTGATGAGGCTGGGAAGACAGGGACAAACTTCATCCCTACAGATCTTTTCAGACTTTCGAGGCAGTGACTGGAGAAAGAACAAGGATGTGAAGGCCTTCACATTGTGGATCAGGAATCATCTGTTCTTCACAGTGACCAAGAACTGACTCCTGTTATAAAATTAATGCTCACTTGGCGACTCCCAGTGACACATTTTTGCTTCTGGTGCTTACCTGAAGAAATTATTCTAAAATTTCAATGGAGAAATTCAAGCCAAGTTAAATTCAGGGTGACAGCATCTCTGCTACTGTGGACTGAACGTCTGTAAAGCAAGAGGTCTTAAACTGAACCATAAGTGTGAAAGAAAAAAAAAAAAAAAACTTCATGGACTTTCCTTACAGCAGTCTGTTGTAAAATGGGTTTTCCAGGAGGTAGTCATTGAGATGGAGATTAGCATGCAGGAGATTTATCAAGAAATGCACTTGGGAGTAATAGCCTTAGACGGGAAGGGAAGAAAGCAGCAGCCCGTAGAGGTGGAAAGCAGGCTGTGGTGCAGGCTTGTTGAATGTCTCAACTGATCCCTGGGGACCATTGGGCTGGAGTGGCCATTCCAGGTTATCCCAAGTTTGGATGAAGAGAGCCTGGTCTTTATAACTTCCTGTTGATCAATCCTTGCATGTGTGTAGCCCCAGAAATGTGGTGTGACAGCCTCGGCAATTTACAACGAAAGCTGCTGGCTACTGGGTGGCTGCCAGCAGCACTTCCAGAGGCTGGAGAGAGCCTGGCAGCACATTCATATATCTGCTGCATAGATTTTTTTTTTTACCTTAGGATAGCTTTATTGCTATCATTTAGGAAGAAGTGGGGGTACCATCACTTACAATGGTAAAGTACAGAGTCAGAAGAAGCATTGGGGGCCAGCCAGGAAGAATAGTGGTTAGTTAATGTGGCTCCCATGTGACCAGCTGTATGGGTTGAGTCCTAGA